TCTTTAAGGGTATCTCTGAAAGTTGAATAATAACAGATTTCTGATTAGGAAGGGGAATTGCTAAATAATTTTAAGCAGTTAGAACCTTTGGGGTTAGCTTTGAAAGTTCCTCTGTCTTTGCCAACAGAAACTCAGACAGGTGTGTCCATTTTCTGTCACAGACAAGAAATGAAATCTCTGCTAACTCCGTCAAACCACAGAAACTGTTTTGCAGTTAGATGAGCACAAGGCCATCTAACCTCTCCCTCAGTTCTGGGATATCACTGAACATTCCCTGTCCATCCTCAGAACAGGCTGTCAAACTTGCTGAGATCCTCCACTGACAGGAAACCCACAACTATTTCTACTTCTTTCATTTCTGAATTTGACCATTTTAACTAGAATTGTTTCACTTAATATACTTATTATAATAAATAATAAAATAATTAAGAAAGCAAATTAAGCTGAATATCTTTTACTAAAACCAGGAAATGAAATTTCAGTTGGCCACAGCTCTTAGTAATACCCTTCCATATATTCCAAACCTGCTATCATTCCATGTCTTTTTGACTTTATATTCATTCAGTCCTTTCTTCTTTCCACAGCCAGGAGATATTTTTTCATTTGTCATACTTATTGATTTATATTAAATATTGCCAGTATTTGTACAAAAATTGATAGCTAATAAGTTTTTTTCATATTTACCCACCTACTGATAAATGTAAAACCTTTTTCCCAGTTAGTTCTTGATGACGTATCTCAGGTTGTGAGTCCCTTTTGCCCAATAAGCCATACATTTCTCATTTCACTACTTGTGTATTTAATTTTTTCCAATCTAAGCACAATAATTTGTACTTGCATTTACTGTATTCTTTGGAATTTTAAATTATTTTCTACAAATCAGGAAAATTTTGTACTACAATCTTGAACTTGCCATCTTTCATCAGGTACCAGTCACATTACATTTTGATGTCATTCACAATCCCAGTATGTGTACTCTCTATTCTTTCAGACATACAGATATTGAAAATGTGGACTAGCAGCAAGTATGGAGCAGACTCCTGCAGATCCTGACTTGTACAGTTCTTTTGTTTTGACAGGAAGCAATCAACAACTACTCTCAGAACAATTTTTCAATCTGTTGTACAACTAGCTTTTAACAATTTTACTTGGACCATATTTCCTTACTTACCTTATGGTTCTCTGTGACAATCTTATATCAACACTTATTAAAGCCAAAATATATCACACCTACTTATTCCCCATTATCAATTCGATCAATTACCCTGTCAAAGGAGATAATTATATTGGTTGATTATATTGGTCAGGGACATCATGTTGGCTGTTTCTTATCACCTTATTGTACTCTAGGTGCTCACAAATTGGTACTTTGCTCTAGATACTTAGCATAACCTAAACAGGATAGAGTCCTCAGTTTCTGCTTTTTTCCCCATGATAGTCAGAACTGTCATAAAATGCTATGGAGCTATATTGCATCCTTATCTTCCACAATATTCAGTTTTTTACTGAAGCAGCACATTATACCTTCATACAGCAGAACTGCACATTGAGTTGGAGATTACCTTTACTTTAAAGAGGTGTAGGAAAACAAGGTTTAAAAGAAAACAACAAACAGTGATTCCAGGATGAGCATCCTGATCGACTTTCAGGAGAATATTACTTCAGCTTCTATTTAACACAAATAATTATTTCTGGCAAACATCTGGAAATACTTTTATAGATTATCATAATGGAATTCGAGACCTGTAAATACATCAAAATGCTGCCCAGCCTTCCTCTAAAAACAGGCTGAATTATCACTCAGGTATCTACTTTGTGCAAAAAAGTAAGAGAGACTCTCTTTGCAAGATTCAACCTGATTAGTAGGTACTGACATTCCCTACATTAAAAAATGGTGAAAATTTAGTAAGCCTTCCCCCCCGCCCCCCTCCCGCCAAATCCTAGTAGTGATTAGTGAGTTTGTGTTTACTGAGTTCTTGCATTAGCAGAGTATTTACTCCAACATCTACCTGCAGGGAAACCTCTTGAATTGTCCTACTCAAGTTAGCTGGCATTTGTTTTCAGGATGCTTATAGCAGATATTTTATATTTATTCAAAAGCATGTATTTAACAGTCCTTCTCAACAAGGCAAAATAGCAATGAACAGATAGAAAAATCTAACAGGCAACACACTTCCTGCTAAGAACATACTTAAATGGTTTTCCCTTTACTGGATGTATAATATAAAGGTAAAAGCAGTACACAGATCTCCCTCAATGAAAAATAAATAAAAAATAATTAAAGAGTCGCTGCTTGAAACAGATTCCACTGAATCTACAACTGCTATGCCAGTGTTATGTTATTTTTTTTCTTCTCAGCACAGAGAAGCTTTGGTTATTTGCTCATTCCTCCCTTTCCTCATATGAGAAGATTTATTTGAAAAGAAATACCGAACACCAGCTGTCATGAAGATTTACAGATAACGCCTCTAGAAAGAAACTAAATGATTTTAGACTACTGTAGTGCCTTTTTCATTTTTCTCTGAAATGTAATTTTGATTCTGTGTAACCAGGAAAAAAGCTCTTTTGTACTGAAAGAAATCTGTATCAAAGGGGAGAAAATTCAGTATTCTCTACCAAAATGAAAAATTTCACAGACCAGTTTTATTGTAAACATTTCCATAATACTGTTGTGACGTAGGTAAATAGAATTTCTATTCATTATTCTCTGATAAATTCTATCAACAGCACCTAAAAATATAGAGATGCATCTGTAGAACAGCCACAAGCCCTTAGGTTTCCAAACAGGAAAGCTATTCATTTTTCTTAGTGTTTTAAATAATGTTCAGTGAAGTATGATTACAATGAAAGGTGCAGACATTCAGTAAATTAAAAGTTTTTCACAATACTAAGAAAAAATCTACAATGTGTGACTGCCATTCATATAATTTAACAACCAAAAATTGATAGCTAATAACTTTTTTTCCAGGGCAATCTTTTCTTCAAGTCTTCATGCTGAATCTGCACATTTTTTTTCTACAAAAAAAAACCAAACCTGTTGGTCATGCAGAGTTACTACCTCAAGCAACTGAGGTACTTAGCTCTGCCTATTCCACTCACATTGCAGAAAAAAAACCTATTCTAAACCTGCAGTAACACTGACTATATATTATTTCTTGAAAAGTCTCAGCAGAGCACTTTGTGAATGTCAGTAGTAATAACTGTACACACTGGAATGAGAAGAGAGAACCATAAAGAAATCTGCAAATCTCTTCTGGGTGTTTAAGAGGGACAGATATCTTCCCACGTTAATCACTAGGCAATATTTAGAATTCTAGCCTCTCTATCCAACAGAAACACTGAGGATGCTTCAAAAATTTAGTTAGAACAAACTTCCTCTGAACAGCTCTGGCAAAGCAGAGTTCAAACCTCTTGGATTGACTGTGTGAAAAGACAACTAAATATCTGCTTCACAGCTATTTTTCCAGGATTTTTTTTTTTTACTGCAAATAGTCTAAATGAAGAAATTTCTCCTGAAACTGTGTTTTGTTGTAGCTGTTGTTTTCTAGATATTGTAGAGATCCCTGAAAATGGCCACTGCCTCTCTCCCCTCTCTACTTTGGAATCCTTTTTAAGAGAAGAACAGCATGAGGGCATACCAGTCCTCTGAGTCAGAAGTGTCAGTGTTCACTGACATTGTGTTTCCTTCTGCGTAGAAAATTGCTTATTTCATCTTCTTCTGGAAAATGCCTACATCCTGTTGGCTGGAAAATGTTTTACTCCATGTACTAGTCTAACTTGTGTATCCGCTAGTGACTAAGTCAGCTTAACGACATGTCCAACCTCACTTTTGCCTGTATCTTTTTCAAACTAAGAAATGGTATTCCTTCTATGAAAGAAGATTTTGGTATCACTGAGGTGTTTGATGACTTTTGAGGATATATGCAATGTATGATTCAGCCTGACATGCTCTTTCCAAAGATGAAGCTGAAAACCATGAGCAATAAGTTAGGCTACTCAGTCTGCTACTCAGTAGCAGTCACCTACTCCCAGTCAGTGGGATCTGCTGTGGTCCAGAAATCTCCAATATCCCTTAAAATTGCTGTTTCTGAGAGACCTATTGTGAATGGCTCAGTACTTGCAGTCATAATTCTAGCATTTGTCTTCTAAATGGAAGAGTGCAATCTGACTCTCCTATTTTTGTCTGAGAATTGCAACAGCTACAGATACTCTATTATTGTTTGCAATCCCTGTTTGAGACTATTGTCAAATTTGTAAGAGAAAGGTGACCATTCAGTCCGTGAACTAAAATATCTGAAGTCTTGAATGAAGGTTAAATATGTAATTCCCACTGGTCTGAAAGTCATGACTGAGATCTTGTTAAAATTCTTTCTAAGTATTAAAAGCTGAGGGGAATGAAGAGAACTGCATTACTTTTGGGTAGTCAATCTGTTACAGAATGCTTCAAGGCTCAACTTAAAATTTTGACAAGTTTGTGGCTTTGATAAATAATTGATAAACTAAAAATGATTAACATCTATTATTATTGTTATTGCTATTAAGATCATACTGTCAAGACAGGAATACTAAAACACAATTCTGGCTGGAAAGGTCTTTGTAAGCATAGCAAACAGAAGGTAAAATCACAGGGATGCACATCTGAATAACTTCTAATATTCTGAGGAAGAAAAGGCAACTACATCCGGGCTGGTAAAAGAATTAGCACCCAGCAAATATTTCAGAGTTATTAGCAGTAATGGATCAATCAGTTTTCCTATTTTCAGCCCAAGCAGCAAAACTGAAATTGATGAGCTCGCAGAGATATACCCGCAGGGAAAATCTGGCCTGGTGTATAAATACTGTCAAATAATTGTGTTTATTTGAAGCATCCTACAGTCTTTTCATCTGGTGAACCACAAACTGAAATCATCACATTTCATTTATGTTCAATTTATGCAAATTATGACACATCCAAGAAGATAAGTACATATTTATAATCTGATACAAAATGAATGACTTACATCAGAATTAAATCTCAGCTGGCAAATGTTGCATGATATGATTTGCTTTCTTCGATGAGGAAGAGGGACCCCAAATGTATGATTTATTACAGCTTTCTGAATTGGGTCCATCTGTAAAGAAAGAATACAAGGAAATATAAAAGCTTTTGCTGTTTCATCATGTTTTACATTAACTATATTTGAAAAACAGACATCATGTCATTCCAAATCATCTTCCATACTAAAGAAAATTATTTTTTAATAATATTTATTTTAAGTGCAGTTTTATGAAAAGGTAATGCAGAGAGGAACAAAGAAAAATGGAGTTAGATTATATTATAATGCATATCCTTAGTTCTGTTCTACATGCACCAGCCTCCCTTTGCTGACAAAATCTGAGTTGAAGACATAAAAAAAACTAATTTATCAACAGTATAACATATTTTTAAGCCATAGAAATGTTATCTAAATAAAATAAAAATATTCCATATAAAATTACTAAGAAAATGATCAATGGAACTATGAAGGAATAGTAGGTAGAAATAATTCCCAAATAACTCAGTATTATGAAAAAAATACACACCAGGAACCAATAAATGATCCATTTCAATAAAGGAAATTCTATAAAGCCAATGAAAAATTCAAATTCTCCAAAGACATTTTCACAGCATTTTGGATCAAACTACATCTTCCAAATAAGCCCTGCTTTGAGGATGCAATTTGACTTTGATGAAAGGCATTATTCTGAAAAAGACCTCCATGAGAAAGCTGACCTGGCAGTATATGCGAGTCAGGGTTCTGCTAAAAAAAAAAAAAAAAGGACAATTTTGGAATTTTGGCAGATCTTCACTAAATCTACTCAGAAAATTTTACTTTGATGAATGAGATCAGTTTCCCTAGATTTATTGGCCAAAATAATTTGTCTTTTTTTTCACAAGCCTTGCAGAACTATTTTTAAAATCTAATAAGAGCTTTACAGCAATTTGGTAAAGCCACTATTTTTTATCTTTGAATTTTTTTTTTTTTTTTTTTTTTTAATGAAGCAAATACAACTAACCAATTGTCTGGCAGTATCAGACAGCTTAATTTGCATGTGCCTTCAGAACAAAACACCTTTTCTATATCCATGTTCCCATTATTCACTTTTTTGAGTCAGTTAGCAAAGGGTTATTCAATAAAGAATCACAGCTTTCTCTCGGAGTAATCAATGATTCATGGAAGCTGTAATGGTAGACAGTCATGGCCTTTATTGCAGTGAATCCAAAACAGCTCACTAGAGAAGCAGTGTGTCATCTGACAGCTGTTCAGAGTCAGATATGAAGTAGGTCATGGGCTTAAACTAATTACTGTTGAAAAGAAATTCAGATCAAATAAAAAAATCAATTTAAACTGCAGAGTTTTATAGGAATAAAAATAATAGTAATAAAAATAAGTATGCCTCAGTGATACAACCAAAAACCAAAACAATGACTAAAATCAGAGAATACTGAGTTCTAGAACACTGACGTGCGGCTTAAGATAATGTGAAGACTTTCTGCTGAGAGCAGACCATGTGCTTAGAGCACTCATTTTACTTAGTAACCCAATCTTTAAAAAGCCTATGGTTCAAAAAACACTATTGCAGGAGCCCAAAAGACAAAAGTAAATAGACAGAAACAGCTTTTCTTTTTTTTCAACTGTTCCGTTATTTAAGAGGTGACTTCTTATACCAGTAGTATTATTACCTTCACCTTGGCATTTTCAACACTAAAACATAACCTGGTCTCAATCAACAGTATTTTATAGCTACCAGAATTTCAAGAAAGTAAGCTTACATTTTTAAGAAATTTTTGCATTGTGTCTTTATAGGTATAAAACATAGAAGGAAACCTCAAGCTAAGATACTTGATGAAATCAATATATGGCAGCAGCAGCACATTGCACATTCTTTGATCCAGTGTATCTGCTTACTTTCACCTTCTTAACTGCTGTTCCACAATACTATTAGTTCAGCCTTAGGCTGACATGTTAAACTCTGACACATTATCTCACAAATGCTAAAAGACAGTTTATAAACATCTGACCTCTAATATCATAATTCCTCCTGAGCACTCTAGAAGATCTCAGTTCAGTTACACTGAGGCCTAGATAACTTTAAACATTAACTTCTTAAATCAACTGGATCACCTTGTCCAGGATGATATATAATTAGGTTCTGATTACGAGGAAGATGTAGCACCTACCTTATGTTGTTGTAACACAATTCTATCCTTTATCATCAAGTAATTTTCTAAAGTGGCACCTGTCTGTCATTTCAAATACCTCATGTGTTGACAGGTAGCAATGTAACCTTATGGATTTTTTTTTTTTTTTTTTAACTTATGTTTCTGCGGTATAAAATGAAGGTTTTGAACAAAATAGGTCCAATTTTTTTCTTGACCCAGCATGTTTGACCCAGTTTTAATCACTCATCTTTCTTCAACTAAATTCCTTAGAGGTAATCCTTTCCTGCTATTCTTTTTCCATTGATGCATCGGTCTTTTGGTTCTATATGATAGAAAAGCAAAATATTCACCACATATTTTAAAGAATTATCTACTACTTAATGGAGGATGACTTATGTCAAGATGCCAACAACAACAACCTACAGAAATGCCACACTGTCATTTAAAATTAGTCAACAAAACTGTATTTAAACATAGGTAGAATAAATATTACCATAGCTAATAAGTTGCAACAAATAAATCTACAGTTGGATGTAACTATGTTCACAGAAAGAATTCTGGGTTCAAATGAAATTGAATTTCTTGTGGAATTAATGCTCAGAGGTTGAGAACAAGACAGATAACTTTTCAGAATTGGGGGGAAAAAAAGTGAATATGTAGGGTAGTTTTTTGTGTATTTATTTTGATCTTAAGAAAAAACGTGGAATTTCTTTCTTAATGCTCCACACATTTTCTCTAGTTTATCTACTGATACAGAAATCCATCTGCACGTTTTCATTTCTCTTTCTAAAGATGCAGACCTCTAGATATACAGCTACATGGCCTTATTGTGAACTGGGTGATTTGTGTTTGCAGCTCTATAAGAAGAAGTGTTCTGGACAGCCTCCAAGATGATTAAGAAAAGCTACTTCAAAAAAAGAAAAAAAAAAAACACAAAAACCTTCTCTGCCAATTGCCCTTTGATACTGCAGAGCAGAACTAACTTTCAAACAGAACAGACTCTAATAAAAGCTGGGGGAGAATACTGGAGTGCTATTTGACATTGTTATTTCTTTCCTGGAGAGCTCATTTGGGAAATACTACCAATCCATAAATTTCAAATAAACATCCAAAAGCACCAGATAAGCTTTCAGAAGTTTTATGCAAGAAATTTGAGAAAAGTAAAAGGTGCATTATGATAAGCACTAAGATCTCAAAGACTCTGGAAGACAGAGAGGAGCCCTGCTGACGGTCAGAGGAATAAAAAGAAATAGCTGATTGTGAGGAAAATAGAGAGCAAGGATTTCATGGATGCATAAAGAGGGAAATAATATAATGTAACTGAGATAATCAGCATGTGTAGAGATGCTTAGGAGAATCCACACAATGCCTTACTAAGTAAAATAGAACACAATTCTTACATGTAGTATATCATTTACTTTTCACTACATCATCTTCTGAAATTAACCCATTCTTAGGACTACATGATTGTTGCATTTTTTAGTGGCAAACTCTTCAAATGCAAAACTGCCTCCTGCCTTATAATTTTGATATATTAGTAACTGCTTTTTTGTGTTTGTACTAAAGTTACAGACATGGCTTAGTAGTTGACTAGCTATAGTATCTTCCCTCAGCCATGTAATGCCACTGTCATTTATAGCTGGAGGATATTTTTGTATGGAAGTGGTCTGGGCAGAATTTGACTACTTCCCAGTAACAACTGAGCACTTCTTTCTTCCCTCTGATCCCAGTAGCATTAAGTATAGAGATAATTTCCTTTACAGTTGTGCTGATCAATTATACAAATGTCACGCTGTTATATGACATCACTTTATATTATACTATTATATAATTTTTTAATGGAGAAATTGATCGTTTGGAGATCTGCTTCAAATTCAGCCTTACACCACCCATATATAGTGCCTATATTATGCATACTGTTCAACTAAGTAGTGCCACCACGTTCTCCAGGACATGTTCAAGATTTACCACAGCCACACATATAGGGTGGACAAAGAATGTGCCATAGATCTTCTTGTAGAATCAAACTTCCAGGAAGCATTTGACTCAGTGTCACACAGTACAGATGATTTTTCCATGTGCATCCATCTCAGATCTCCTGACAGTATTTCTTTATTGTACATATTAAAAAACAAACAAACAAACAAAAAACAACAATGTAGCACACATTAAGTATATCTGATTCTTTCCATTTTAACTTACAATCTATACGATGCATTTTTAATACACTGGTATCCAAATCAGAAAGAGAACAGCTCAATTATTTGATCATATGTATATTTGACATTCTGTATTTTCATAAGAATTGCAGCCTATCTTATTCTGACCATCACTTTACTCTGTGAATAATAATTTTATAAACGAACCAAAGATCACAACACAAAAAGAAGGATGGGAGAGGCTTAATGAAAATAATTAAGTACAAAAATGGATGTTCAACAATATTTTGGTATCATGAGAAAGTACAATAATATGACATCAAATGATTAAAATACTTGTTCTGGATGTTCTACCATGGATGGTTTATCCATTTGTAACTAATTTATTCAGTACTGTCTTACATGAATAATTATGTACTGAATTGGAATCAGCACTGCACATCTTACTGTCTACTATTTCCCCTCTTATCAGTGTTAGAAGCAACCCGATGTTTTTGATGGATATAAAACAGAAATATTACTCAACCCAGTTAAATGTAAAATAATTCATGGAAATTACCTGCAACAATTGTAATGATGTACAATATTTAAGAAAAGATATTTTCAAAAACAAACAAAAAAATCCCTGTAAATGTTTCCCATTGTAACATGCCTATGTATTTGAATAGTACTTCAGAACGAATTCCCAAAGACCACTTTTTTAATTCTCTTGTTGAAAGCTTTTAAGTATCTAACTATTTTATTCTTTCTTATATGAAGCTATTTAATT